GACCATGGCGTCAGCATTTTACGGTTACGCCAAAATCAACCAAGGAACAACCAAGAAGTCGGACTTCAGCATGTGTACCTTATTCTGTGGTTCAGTGTTGGCGTAATTACTAATACTTCAAGTTGAAACATATAGGCAAGGCATTGTTGCATGCATGTATTTCTAGTCTTGTACATAATATTCATGCGCGAAATTTCATAGTTTTGTATTAAAACTCCTACCTCATTTGCTTAAACAATGATTTGTACGATTCTGGGACTTCGCTTTTCGTCAAAAAATAGCCATCGTCACTTCCAGATATGCAGTCAAATTTAATTTCAGTTTTCTTCTCGCCAACTTTCTGGTGCATTGTGGCTGAGGTCGCACCAATATCGATAGAAACCTCAAGATTACCTTTCTCAGTCTTAAAATCCGGTGCTCGCCAGGATCCTCTGACCTCTTCAGGAATATTGCAGGATGTAGTCCTCTTACGTGCTTGTGTGGAAAAAACAAAAGCTAGTTCCACAGATTGGAATAATTATCCTATTATTACGTGACCAAAATCCATATAATTATAGGGAAGGTTGTTTTTTGTTTTGAAACGTTTAATATAATTCTTTCCAAAATGACCATTCTCATCGCAGGGATTAATCTTATCTTCACCTGAGCGCATTACATGCACCGCATTTTTGAACAAATACGCCAATAAAATGGCTACCGCCTTTGGAATAATTTGTACATAATCCATATTATTTATATGTATAGACAGCTATCGCATAAGCTATTCTACATTCTGATTGGCTCTCTACTAGCAGGATAATAGCTCATATCCTGCAAGTAGATAAAACAAGATGGCGGCTCAATAATTACTGCCGGAGTCTTGCGAACGATAAAACAGCAAGTTATTCGCTCTTTATTAGTCTTAACTGGAATAAAAACACAATGAAAAAACTCTCACCATTTACCGGCTAGCAAATATTATTTTATATATCAAACTGGTTAGTTTTGAAAAAAATATTGCCGAAAGAGCGCGAAGATGAAAACAAGAACTGAAATCAGAATATAATTATTTTGGAATGTTCCAACTACTGATTTGAAAAAACGAGCATGAGTGTTTTCTCAGGTTTGGGCCAAGTTCTGAGGAGCGTCAAACTAATTGTCAAAATATTGCCATCTTGAAAAATCTATAAACGCAGTAGTCGTGTATATAATAAAACAGCTATTCTACTCACTCTCGCCTTTTATGACCACCGAGTTATCACAGGAATAAGAAGACACATAACATATGGAAGATATTGAAGGTGGAAGAACTGAGAGAGAAGATGCCAGAAAGTAGAATAAGATGTGGTATGGCCACGTGAATGGAGGAAAAAGAGCTTGTCAGTTGGACTGCGGAGCATAAGGAATCGGGAACAAAGAAGAGAGGTCGTCAGCCGATGAAGCGGTGAACGGATTGTGCGGGGGGTGATGGTATAGAGAGATGGATCTGGATAAAGTTGACGAAAGAATAGACTGGAGAAAGGTGTGGAGGTGTCCCGACCGCCTTGAGCGAACAAATGGGATGATGATATGAAGAACAGATAGCTAAGGTGAAAATATTTAACTCGATATTATAGCAATCTGAGAGCTCAGCTAATGTTTGCCGACTTTTTGATCAATTAAGCGTCATTTACTAAAGTTTCGCTGGCATACTTGTTCATATCGGATATCTCTCCGAGCGGCCACGTCTTTCAATAAAACCAAATTTTATGTGAACTTCGTATGACTATACTGCCGAGCGATTTTGTTTTGCATTTTTAACGCTCATTCGAGACACGTCAGAGTTATAGAGTAATTTAAATCACAAATGTGACAGACTAGATCTTCAGCCCTATTGCTTGCTGTTTTATACCCCGATTCCGCAACTGCCCGATTGAAAATTTGTATAAGGAAATGCTTATTTTTAAACTTTGATGATAATAGTGGCCCGTGTATAGACTAAAGTATGAGGAACCGATTATTTCGCCGCCCGTGAAGATACCATGCCGGGTATGAATGAATGTGCAACCGACACTTTTCAAAATGATCGCGAGGTCGGCAAGCAGCAGTCGAACTGTCGGGTAGCCACAACTTCAAATTAAATATTTCCACCCAATGTTTTCTCTGTTGAAAATGGAAGGCCGTTGTACAGGAGTCATTTATGCAAATTAGTGTAGACTAAGGAGTGAGTATTTTGTTGCGAATTTCTGGTAATAGATCGTGGTAATGAAATATGGTAATTACATATAAGATACGAGATAATGCTATAGCTATAATACTCCTTCAAACCTTTAGAATGCCCTTCTTCAAACATCAGAGAACAAACCACCAAAACAATCATGAAATGATAAAAAATCGTCATCGCTTTTTCTTTCTTTAACTAAACAACAAATGTTTTCTTTCTTTAACTGAAGAACAATTATGAGATACACAGTAACAATGCAAATATCTTAATACGTCACACTACACCTTGGAGTTGTTGTTATAATTGATTTGCTTCGAGCAGGGTCTAATACTTTACATATCAGATACGAGTTTCGAGATTAAACAACTCTAAATTAATTTGATATTATTATGTTAAAATTTCTTCCTCTGCTTTCAACCTAATCGCATATAAAAGAAAATGCAATCCATGATATGCTTTCGACGGTCGTAGGCTTATCTACAGGCCCTCAGGCTGTTAAAAAGTTGCAACCATAACATCGTTATAAAACAATTCGCTTTTTTTTAATCTCCAAACTGATTGATGTTATACCAGTCAGGCCAATTGGAAGAAAAACATCTTACCTGAAATTTTACTCTTCTCTCTCTGTCTTTCTCCGCTGTAAATGGTCTAGAGTGAATATGTGGCGTGTTTTCTATGCGATGTCGTCATCGTTGTGAAGCAATTGCACGCTTGTTACCTTCATTAAAGGTTCGATGTGAAAAAAATATTGTCTAAATATCTTATATCAGCCTTTATATAAAAAAACGTTCTTCATTTTTTATCCTATATTTCTTGAACGTTAAAAATTTCATGTCGATTCTTTGTATGCAGGTCGCTTAACGATGGAAAAAGTTTGATTTGGCACATCAAAAACTACCGGGTATTTCTGGTTTTCCGTGTGATATTCTACAGGTAGACGACTAACGCATCGATAATTTTGATCAGGTCCGCTTATCTCTGTAAAATTCTTTTCATGAGATCGCTTTAGGTTGAAATACATAAGGGTATTAAACTATATGTAGGCGGCGCCAAACTAATGTAGAGTTGTTATAATCCAATGGCAAGATACAAAACGTTGAACACATTATTTTTTAATCAAATGACGGCAGGAAAAATAACGCATTAGGTGATTTTATGATGTAATGACTGGGATAATGTTTAAAATTATGCACTCGTATATGCAACTTAGGGAACTTAAGATGTGCTTGATACAATACTCGAACGTGACGAAAAACCAGTTACTTATGTTTTATTTTGAATTTGTTGCCAATTTGTTTTTCACCTGTATCCGTCTTTTGTTTACAAAAAGCATATATAGCCATAGAGTTTTAAACCGTATCGCTGACACTGTGAAGTTAGCGTATCACATCTTAAACTCTCTAATAAGAATATACTTCTTCATGCAACCTGATAGATAATGTTAATTTGGGTTACTATACTGATTTAATCAGAACGGACAAATTTTCCCCTCCGGTTCAATCGATAAATCGAATGTCGAGTTCGATATTTCTTATTCAAATAAATGACATGCAGGTAAAAACAACGCATGAGGTGATTTTGTGATCTAACGTTCAATCTATTTCAGCTAGAATGAAGCGTATACAGTAAAATATCGTATAAATGATTCGCCTTTTTTGCGTTTGTATAAAGATTCAGTAATTCTAATAACCCCCTACCATGAATTTAAAACTATAAAAAATATTTTGGCAAGAAAAAAAGTTTTGCCTAAGGTTAACCCTTAAATAACTAAATGACAGGTTAAAACCACGCATGAGGGCATATATAATTTATGATCTAATCTTGTGTTAATTTTAATTAATGGCGAAAAATAATTTAACTATATAATGTACATACAGGATATATACCACTTTATACATGCAAAATTGTTGTATTTTCAAGTTCACTATTTAGAGGTATATCTCCAACTACCGTAAATTCACTCATATTTTCGTAGTGCTTGCCTGAAAGGTTTCTTTCAAGAAAATGATCGACAGGTACTAGAAACGCATGAGATCATTTTGCAAGTGTGATCTAATGTCGAGTGGATAACTATAATATTGATCGTTAAAAATATTAAATTCATACACGATATTGACTTCTCTCTGTGAAAACATTGACTGGGTGTTTCATCACTGCGTGTTTATTTAAAGGTTAGTATTTCAGTAGTCAGTCCATAACCTTGAATTTCAATAGATTTTAAATATACATCTTTTCAAGAATTATCATTCCCTCCAGTTCGAAATAAATTTCTTTTTTAACATGTCAAAACATAATATCTTTTGGTGGCGTGCGTTAATCCTTGTACATGGGAAATCATGACATGCGATCAATTTATTATTTTGTCGTTTGATTTTTCCGCTCTATAAAGTGATACTTGTGTTGGCTTGGCTTGTGTTGGCTTGTGTTGGTTTTCGGGGGTCTGGACTCTGAGGTTTCCGTCGCAGCCTTATAACACACAGCACTCTGACTGATTGCCCTCTTTTAGTCACTAGGAATGCTTTAGGCAGTTCACATCAAGAATTATGGCTCAGGAGGTGCCCTTTTGAAATTAGCTGTTCTCGCCTATTCACTGTTTCCGGCGCCCCTGGGCGTATACAATGTTGGGATCGTCCAATCTAGACTTTTTTATCCATGATTATAGAAGAAATGCAAGAATAATATGAAGCTTTCTCAATGTTTGTTCTTATCTTTAGAAACTGCATTGAATCGTTTGATATGAAGAACTTCACCATTCTTTTCATGCTCCTCGTCTCGGTTGAAGTGTGCTGGTCGTGCGGTTTTGGAAATGGTCGGTGTACAATCTTTGGTGGATGCAGTGACACGGAGTATTGTTACCGCAGCCATTGTAAGCCTAAGAGTGGTAAATTGGGAAGCTGCATTTGGGGATTTCAGCAAAACCAATGTCTAAGCGGTCTTTCTTGCACGTGCAACCCAAAGCTTTGCAATGCAGCTGCAATAACTGGAGAGTTGGGGAATGGTCTAGGAGGACTTGGCATCCCGGATCTTGGTAGTGCCATCAGTTCTTGCTGTCGTTGTGCATAAATACGGGACCTAAATAGTTACCCTGAACCAGGAAACTTTTTAGCTAGTGAAAGTTTGTGATCTAAAAGCTCAAATTAAAATATAATATACGTAGGTTTGTCTGAATAATTAGTAATTTTTTTAATATTCGGCCAAAAGAATTATGTTGCCACAATAGGTCCTTGGCAGCTGGCCTAAAAACACATTGCATAACAATTATGCTCTCCAGTCACTCATTGTACTTTCTCATCCAGATTCTTTGGACAATCCGCTCGATAGAACCAACAGTTGAAGGCTTTTTGTCCCTGAGCCAAAGGTGCGGAGCGCCGTTCCGGGCGTAAGCCCGGGGCGAGGGTACTAATTCCGCGCGGCTTATTAAACCCAGGTATGCGAAAACATAGGAAAGTGCAAAGTTGTCGTCCATTTTGTTTATGTCATGAACGGTTTTCGACGCTATATGTATGCGGCGAGTACAAGCTCTCTGGCTATATAATTGTTTTTCATTTTGAAAGGACGTATTTTGCAGCAATTTTTTTTTAAATTTCGTAAAAAAGTTTACAAAAATAAAACCACGGTTTTTTTCGATTTTAACTAGAAATGAGCCTGCAGTTTCATGAATTAGTGGCTGTTCAACCGTGAAACAAAGTTTGTAATAATTGTTTTGATATTGATGTTTTTAATAATTTAATCCGGTTGTGCCGGTTTCGGTAAGTGTAAACATTTCAGTAGTAAAATTCTATGCAGTACTTGCTTTGCGCTGTCGATTTGATTCATATCTGTGAAATTTTTAAGCCATTCTGAATAATTCACAATAAAGAATGTAGTTTAATGTATACATGAAATTGCAATCGTCCATTAAGCTAGCGCATCAGTTGCATTGGTTTTTGTGTTTGTTTATGGACTTCATTCTTTATGTGGAGTTTTTAAACTTCATCTGTTAAGAAAGGCGAGGGGTTGCTACATGCATGTGTTTTCTAGTACATGGAATGTTCTTGACGTGTTGTAGTTTTCCCAGAGTCCCCTAGTCTTTCCGAGATCTCGATCTTGTGTCTTGTCCGCGGTTTTAAAGATGTCGTATTTCCTGGTGAGTACACGGCTTCAGGTACGTTTTTAAAATAAGGGGGTGGTCAAATTCGCACGCATGCTTCCTTCCTTCCATGTGATCACGAGTTCTAGGCTTCTTGTTCTAGCTTGTTATTGGGGATTTTATACGGACTTTACAGCGGAGAAAAAATTCAGATTAGTCCCCGAGCCAAAGGCGCGGAGCCGCCGTGCAAGGGTTTATTTACACCCGGCTATTTACACCCGGGGAAACGAAAGCATTAGCGAAGTCCAAAGTTGTGTCATTGTGTATGGATGGACCTCCTCACTGATCTCAAAAATATGGCGGATTGCCAGGAGTGGGATAAGCAAGATTTCTATTTTGAAAGTAAAGACAATTATTTGGAAAATTCTTTCATAAATAAGAGCTTTAGAGCAATTTTTTCTTTAAGAAATGGGGAAGAATTTATTTACTATGGGAAATCGTGAAATATAGGGCAAGTTTGCATCGAATAATTAATGTTTATGAATTTTGTTGCTCTAACTTTTTGCCTAAAACATGAACTGTTTTCCTTTCCAACGAAGCTGTAAGTTTCCTAAATTATCCTGTTTAATATAAGAAAAAAAATTAAAATATAAAGGAGAGCAATTCCGTATTCCATACGGAACTGAAATTATCCAACAATTTAAACTTAATATTATTGACCGAACGCGAGGTCTGTACTGGTTTTTTAGTATGGACCGAGCGACGAAGGAGCGAGGTCCATGCAAAAAACAGAGGTCTGATATTTCAGAGTACAGACCGAACAAGCGAGGTCAAGAATCGGTTTATTATATGGCTGAACTGAGTCTGTGAGCATATGCTTTTCGCGCGAATTAAATCGGCTATCGTCAGTTTCACTGGGTAACAATATACGGTAGGCATGCATGCTCAATAAAAAACAATTTGGTTGTTTGAAATTTTATCTGTAAAGCAAAATTGGAAATTTAAAAAAAAAATTTTTTTTCTATTTGCAAAGCAAAAATTTCCCGCCAGTTAAACGACATACGGGACACCGGTCCAGATACGGAAAATATGGATCACGGTCCGGATATGGGTTTTTACAGACCGCTTGTCAACCAATCATGCAGAATAGAGAATTTTGAAAAGCCATATATATATATATATATATATATACCGGGTGTCCCAAAAAAAAGTACTCCTGTTTGATTCGTAATCACTTCTAAACAAGTAAAGCTTTTAAAGAGAAATAACTTAAATCAAATAGAGGAAGGACTAACTTAGATTTTGTTATATTACAGTTGTATTTCACGTAAAAATTAACGGAGATATTAATGTTTAAAATCGGGAGCATATTTCTGGATGTGTCTGAAATATGCAAAAAACGGCGTATTAAATATTAATCAAGATTTGCCCGACTAAAACATGCATTATTACCAGTAAATAAATGACACTTGACAAATTGTTTATTATGAAACAAAGTATTATTATCTACAAAATACAAGCAAGATTTATTCGTCCGAAATCCGCGTGTGCA